AAAAAGAAATTTGTCTTGAGATTGAATTTTTTTCAAAGCGAAATCGGTGGCATTCGAATTTTTTATCTTTTAGTCTTTTATAATATAATACATTATAATTTTTAAAGCGCACTTTTTTGAAAAATATATAATTTTCAAAAATTGAAATTGGATCGAATTTTGAAACCTATTGCGTATTTCAATTATGTTTCAAAAATAATTTTCATAACTTGAAACTTTCGAAATTCAGATTTTTTTTTTGTTAAAACTCATAACCAATAAATATTGGTTATGTAAGGGTAACCTAATTGATATAATAAGAGAATGCAATTCTTTTTTCATCCGAGTTCGAATACATTTATGAACGTTTGCTAAGTCGAGCTGGTCACATATGATTGACCAAGTGTGATTTACGATATTCGTAGTGATTTTCAAGCTATTGAACAAAGGCGGAGTTTATTCATTCATCCAATTGGGTGTACAAAGATTGCAGGTTTAATTTGAAAATCATTTCAAATTTCCGAATAAATACAATATGACTTACAAGTATCACTAGAGTACTAAAATCTAAATGATATGAATTTTTTTTTTTTTTTTAATACTTGATTCATTCAAATAAATATAAACAAATGCGTTTCTTTGTTAGAAATCTAATTGTTTTGATATCATAAGTGAATGACGCTCATTAAGGAGGTTTTTGTGGCGATAAATGAACCCGCAACCAACCAAATAGCTTGCAAATTACACGAAATATATAAATCATATTTGGCTAACCACGTATGACAAATTTGACCTAGCGACTGTTGACAAGTGAATTCAAATTTATATCAATTAACACAGATTCATTCAACTCCACCCGCTAAGTCAACCCAACGACTTTGGATCTTAATGTAGTGGTCGAATTGGAGTTCAAATTTCGTTTTTACTTACATCGTTACACAAAATTCAAAATCAAATTGAAGCTAATTTGACGTGAAAAATATAAATTCAACATTCTTGACCCAAAAATATACTGCTGGTACAAAAAAATTGAGTATACATCACGAATAACATTGTGGGACATTTTGAATTAGATGTATCTTGTGCAACTTGTTCGATGGATATATATTATTTAGTTAGTTTACAATAATAATAAGTAGGGATAGACTTTGGACTACAACAAATAAATAAAAATAAGTTGGTGGGGATGAGTTTGGAATTAAAAGCGATAAGAACAAACAAAAACAATGGCATGTGCCAAGTTGGGGGCACGTGGCCCACAAATATCAAATGGTCTTGTTCATTGACATTGGCATCGTAAAAAATCTTAGTCAAGGCTTCTCTATTTGAGATTTTAAGTGGTGTTTGGATTTTTTTTAAGTAATAATTTAGTGATCGTGAATAAGTTTTAGAATAATCACTTATATCTAAAAGTTTAGAGTAATCACTTATATTTTAAGGAATGTTATGTCTTAATACAACTAATTTTAAGAGAAAGGAAAACTAAATATTGTATTTATAAATACTAAAAGGGTATAATATTGATACCCCTCAGAGAAGATAAAATATTACATCTACCCTCTGGGGTAGATTTGGAAATTCATATCGAATTTTACATGGAATCTTCAAGATTCTGTTAGTCATAGCTTTATCAAGGTGTAATTATTAGACGAAACAATAGTTGAGGAACATTTGTAAGTATCGATACCACATGAGTGTGTAAATAATTTGATATACCTCAGGGGGTCTCCGTAAATTTCCATACTAAAATATAGATTATGAACAATAACGTTCATAATATGTCCTCAAAATTATTTTGGTTCTCCTCTACGTTTCTTTCCCAAAACGAATTAATGTTTGTTAAGATTTATAATAACTTTCTTTGTAACAATCTCAATTTTTTTTCTTTCATTCAAATATGATTTGATTGATACAATAAAAAATATAAACAATACCCAATTATCAAATGACGCTGGAAATTATTATGAACCTTGGTCCAATGAATCTGGGTTCGACTTAATTTGGAGAACAATATAAATAATTCTTGTGTTTGACTATTAAATGATTCATTTTAAGGATATCTTTTATCTCTGATTTAGCTAGTTGACTTTGCAATTGATGCAGACCATTTTGCACAGGTCAAAAAGGTCTACCACCTACTTTTTTTAGACCCAACGCACTCTTCGCTCTTTTCTCTAGAGTTAGTAAAAATAAGAGGATAAGAAATGTGCGAACATGATTCACTAGAGAAATTATCACAAAACCATATATAAGAAACAAACACTGCACCAAAAATACACATTACGACAAGAATACACACAAATACAAACAAATATATACAAATACGATGAAATGTCCAAAAAGGCCACATAAAATACATTGGGCTTTTATATAGGCATATGAAGTGTATGGGTTTATTTCGAGAACTTTAATGGGCTAAAATTACCATACCTTGTCTACGAGAATTGACCTTAAATGAGTATATATGCGTTAATATATAATAGAAAAATATAGGCTATATGATAAAGCACTGGATAATAGTTTTCATATATATATATATATATATATATATATATATATATATATATATATATATATATATATATATATATATATACTACAGGTAAATGGGCCTTTTTTTTGGCCACGAGACACACTCTTTGGGCCCAAATCGCCGTCATGCTACTACCTACTCAGCTACTCTGCCACGTGGCGGGTTACCATTAGCTCATTTCTCTGTCTGTCAGTACAAGTCTGCCACACGTCCTTTTCTCCTCAGTTGTCCCCTTACTTTCTGACTTCTAGGACCGAGGAAGGTACACTGCTCTACTAAGATACATAACCATCCCGCAATAACGACGTGACTTTATTTCGCGCGAGGTTTCCCCTTGTGAACCTCACTCGCCTCTGGTCCATCATATAATTAGTTGTAATTGGGCCCTTTCTCGGGCTTTAGTCTTCCGGGCCTTCCTTCCTGGGTATTTGCTTCTTTAGGAACCGAACCGAAACTGATGGGAACCGAACCGCAAGAAATCGATCGGTTTGGTTTTTGCTTCTTTAGGAACCGAATACATTGGTTCCGGTTCCGGTTTGTGGCTAAAACCGAACCAAACCGACCCATTTTCATCCTTACGAACTAGGGGAATATGTAGAGGAGAAAAAGTCAGAAGCTTGCAAAATTTAAAGTCAGAAGCCTGCAATTTTTTTATAGTTCTTCTAAAACTAAAGGGTACATATCATAACATTTGTACTATATCTCGTCTTCGTTTATTGTTCACTAATGCATAGTAGGGGGAGTAGATGATCCAGGGGCCTAGGCCCAAAAAGGCCCACCAACTATCCTCTTAGATCCAGCCCACTATCCACTCTTCTCTCTCTAGAGTTAGTACAAATAAGAGGACAAAAAATGTATGAACATGATTCACTAGAGAAATCACCACAAAACCATACATAGAAGAAACACACACTACACCAAAAACACGCACGGCAACAAGAATACACAAATACATACAAATACGATGAAATGACCAAAAAGGGCACATCAATAATTTAATCACAAATATTTTCTTGAGATGTACATGGTTGTGAATATACTTGCCACACATTTGGTGTTAGCAAATTGAGTTTATAATAATCCATTTTTAAGCATGTACGAACACATTTTTGGTTTTTTTTCCTCACATAATAAGTTTCTTTTTTTCCTTCTTTATAAAGGAAGATAGTTACTAGTTCCTCAATTCCTCTCCTGGTGTCTTGAACTCATGACCAAATGGTCCTAGCTGCAAGGTGCTTACCTGAACCCATGACCAAATGGTCCTAGCTGCAAGGTGCTTACCAACAGGCTACATTGTCTTGACTCTCTTCTCACATAATAATTTGTTAATGCTATTGGTTGTTTTGGATACCATCTCTCATTGTGCTAACATTTATCCACGAGTTCTACTCAAACTCAGTTAACATGGTAACAAAGCCGGCTGGCTAATTATAACTAGTGAAGATTTGCTTTGTTACACTGCAAATAATATAATGCAAAAATAATCATATGGGTGAATAGTTCAGTTGTGCAATCCATTCAGACGTAATTAGTGATATTATGGATGACAATTTTACCCGACCTGTGGGTTCCTGACCCCGCCCCGCAAATAAATAGGGAGGGTACGTGTTCTAATTTTTTCCCCGAAAACGGATTTGGGGCGGGTGCGGGTGGAACCGAACACATTGTGCGATGCAAGAGACCCGTAAAAAGATAGTGTTGGAGGGTGGTTCCCCGACGTCAACATAACGACAATCAAGTTAGTCACCTGAAAACACAAATATGACGAGGAAGAAATATAAGGACACAAATATGACGAGGGAGAAATATAGGGAGAAAAGTGTTTAGGCTTATACGCAGACGTCTGTGTGTGGAATAATAGTGCAAGACGAGTAATTACATTTCTTGTACCTCAGCTCTCCAAGAGACGGAGTGTATGAGGATGCACATGGGATATAAGATGTCACCTTTATCAAACCAATAACTTTCAGAAATATTTCTAACATGGTTCAGACTGTTTTATAAGAGCCCAAAAAAGTCCATTAGTGTCGAACTACTGTTCCCAAGATGACGAGCTCCTTTGGACCATGTGGGCCGCGTGGGACAACTCGCCTACAAATCTATCGTAAACTTTCTATATTTGGTCATTTAACTATTTTGTAAATGGGCTTGAGCCATTATACATCCCTTGGGCCTAGGATAACGAGTATGGACATCCAAACCCATATCACCTTTATTCACTCAACATTACAACTCTATTTCTCCAACTTTTTTTTTAACAAAATATTTTAGAATTTAGCAAATACAATAGTTCAAGCTTTTACAAATGTACATTTAAACCTATATTAATACAGTTGTAATTAGTAAAATTTTATTAATGTAATAAAATATTAAATTAATAATTTAGTAATATTTTAAATTTACCTACTTATAATTAGAAAAAAATATTATTTAATCGATGTTATTAATTTATAGTGATTCTATTTGTAGTATTTAATTTTCTCGAGATAGGCCAACTAACAAAAACACACAGTGGCAGGCGGACTACTCAAAGCTAACTCGAACCAATTCTCCCTCGTCTTCTCCGCCCCTGCCCGGCCCCCCTAAACCCCCCCTTTTATACTACACACACACACACACTCCCCACACTTCATTTCCAGAAAACAACCACCACTCCTCCGCCAATCCACCGTCGCAATGGCCTCCATCTCCTTCTCCGCCTCCGTCTCCTCCTCCACTCAATTCATCCGCCCCTCCGCATTCTTCCTCAAACCACGCTCCCTCTCCCGCCTCCCCCTCGTACGCGCTAAGATCCGCGAGATCTTTATGCCGGCACTCAGCTCGACCATGACCGAGGGTAAAATCGTCAGCTGGATTAAATCGGAGGGCGACGTCCTCTCCAAGGGCGAATCGGTCGTTGTTGTTGAATCCGACAAAGCCGATATGGATGTCGAGACTTTCTACGACGGAATTCTAGCCGCCATTGTTGTTAACGAAGGCGAGACGGCTCCCGTCGGCGCGCCGATTGGTCTTTTGGCCGAAACCGAGGCCGAAATTGCCGAAGCTAAGGCTAAAGCCGCCGCTCAATCCTCGCCGGCACCGGCGCCGCCGGTCGAGCAATCCGCTCCCGTTGCTGCGAAAATTGAATCTCCGGCGGCTCCCGCAGTTGCCGCTGCTCCCCCAACGCCGGGGAAGTTGGTGGCGACTCCGTTTGCGAAGAAATTGGCGAAGCAGCACAAGGTGGATATCAGTAAATTGGTCGGGACAGGGCCTTTTGGTAGGGTTACGCCGGAGGATGTGGAGAAGGCAGCTGGAATTACAGCTGCTCCCAAGCCTAATTTGGTAGCGGCGGCTGCACCATCAGCGGCTGCTGCAGCACCTGTGGTATCTCCTCCCAAGGCTGAAAAAAGTTTCCCTGAGATTCCAGGATCAAATGTGGTACCTTTCACTGCCATGCAGTCTGCGGTGTCGAAGAATATGTTGGAGAGTCTAAGCGTGCCGACTTTCCGAGTCGGCTACCCGATTGCCACAGATGCCCTTGATGCTCTATATGAGAAGGTACATTTCTTTGAAAATTGTTTATTTGATCTCAATTATTATGCCGAATTTAGCTGTGAGACGAATATTAAAACGTCGTATTTGGAATTCCTTCGATTTCTTATAGCGGATAGATGCATTTGTTATAGTTTGGCATCAATCAAAAGAACACAATCATTGTCAAAATTTAAATACTTGGATTTATTGTATAAACCATAGGTGAAGCCGAAGGGTGTTACCATGACTGTGTTGTTGGCGAAAGCTGTGGCAATGGCGTTGGTTCAGCATCCGGTGGTGAATGCTACATGTAAAGATGGGAAAAGTTTTACTTACAACGGCAGTATAAATATTGCTGTGGCTGTGGCGATTAATGATGGATTGATCACACCTGTTCTTCAAGATGCTGATAAGGTGCATTTCTTTTTACATCGTTTATACGACTGTAGTTCTGTCACTATTGAAGTAGTAAACGGCAATGAATTGTTTTATTTTGTTATAGTTGGATCTGTATCTGTTATCTAAAAAATGGAAGGAACTAGTCGAGAAGGCTCGGGCAAAGCAGCTTCAACCCCAAGAGTACAATTCAGGTACTCCCAACAGTAAAAGCCGTGTGAACTTTGAAGAACACATCAAATATTGAAACTTATTTATTGTATCAGAACTTATTTGTATGGTTTTTTGATATGTAGGGACTTTCACATTATCGAATTTGGGCATGTTTGGAGTGGATAGGTTTGATGCTATCCTTCCTCCAGGGCAGGTGAGGATCGCGATCTAACATTATATTCATTTGCAAATTTACGATTTTGTACGAAGTAATTTATGCATTTGTTATGTAATTTGGATGATGGGTGGTCAGGGGGCTATTATGGCTGTGGGAGCATCAAAGCCTACTGTTATAGCTGACAAAGATGGATTCTTTAGCGTCAAAAACAAAATGTTGGTAAGTCTATCGTCTACTCTATCATCTAGTTAAGAAATGTATATACATATACATATTTATATAATGTTTGGAGCTTTATATAACTAACTGGGACTGTCCTCCTTGCAAATCACATGTTTACGGCGTGATATGTTGCTCTTGATTGACTAGATTGAATGATTAAATTTGTTATACTACAAATATGTTCTGGAAATCTCCCTGCTTCTCCAAATGGTGTCGATAAGCAATATATTTCAAGTTCATTACGAGCCCATATTTTAAAAAAAAAAAGAAAAAAAAAAACACAAATTGGCTTTCGGAGTTTCGGTTCCTATCCCCTGAGCAATTTTTGATTCTGTCTTATGTGAGGCTAACATTCAGAATCGGAATATATATGAGATTCCAATTCCTGATCCAATTTCAATTTCCTGAACATAATTACGAAAATTCCGTTTTTTTTCCGAAAAATACACTTACACTATCAAAAATGATTCTGTATTTTATATATTAGGTTTTTAAAATTTGTAATTTTCCGAATTCTTCTGATTCGGATCAAAAAATTTTCCGATTATGGAACAAGTTTTTTCATTCCAATTTCCCGAAATTCCGATATTCCAATTTTTTCTAAACGAAATTTGATTAGTTTTTCCCTTCCAAGAAAAAAATCAGAATTTTTCGAAAAGTGCTAATTCCGATATGTCCAATTTTCGCCCCTCGTCACACCCAAGAAAAGGAAGAAATGAAAATTTATATTCATAACGATAGTAGAATCTGCATACTTCTTTTCTTTATAGTAAATTTTTCCTGTAACTGGCCTTCACTGTACTGTCTGCAGTCACATAAGAAATGAATGCTACACACTAACCTCTGTTAGACACGTTGATACTGATACTGAACGTTATTGGCTCTTAAATAGTTGAATCGATAAACATTAACACATAGTAGTTGACTATAAGAATAGCAATAGGATTGAATTTCGTTGTTGTCATATTCCTGAAAATTTCTTTTTGAGAAGCTGCTCAAATGTCTCATCTTTCAGAATTTAGTTTCGTTTTTAGTTATGAGGTCTTCCCGAGGTGATCAATTACCATCTTTTAAGTTCGTATAAATGTCAGACTGAGGGTTGATTGTGCTCTGATTCAGAGTCGAATGAATTTCACTAACTAATAGAAATACAAATGCATCACGTAATGTGCCTTCACAAATACTTCTAAATTACCAGCAGTTTTCCTAGTTGAATTATGGGGATAAAGATAGAGCTATCATATACGTTTGAATGCTTTGATATCTGTTTAGAACAATATTCTGGGCGAAAAATCAGTTTCTTCATTGACTAAACGATTGGCAACTATATTTTCAGGTGAATGTTACAGCCGATCACCGAATAATCTACGGGGCTGACCTGGCAGCATTCCTCCAAACCTTCTCAAAAATCATCGAGAACCCAGAAAGCTTGACGATGTAGATCACTAAGAAGAAGATTCAGGTTAATAATGACAACCAAGTCTTACAGAGCCCGTGTTTCAGTACCATGTTAGAGTTTCCGGCAATTTTGTTGTATTTGATTCTTCCTCCTTTATCGAGATCTCATTCAACGGAACATCATCAAATATCAAAAGTCGTTTCCAAAACTTGTCAAGACACACATCAAGAAATTTTCAATATTGTTTTTTTAGCATTTAAATAAATTATCAGTAGCAATGAAATAAACTTTCTTTCTAGACAAAATACATAGGTACAATAAGGACTGAATAGTTCCCTTTAAACATGCCCCGTCAGCTCGACCCCATCTTCCTTCTGCCTTCCGTCATCCGATTCACGGATCTGAACCGGCTTAAATGTATAGAATTTCGCGCAAATTACGTAATAAATCAAATTCAAAAACTGCAGCAAAGTTATCAACCAATACAAATACTCCAATTTCCCTCTATTGAGATTATCATCCGGCAGCCAATTCGATCCGCCGGGCCCAGCACTGTACTTATGCACGAGCGTAATCAAAAGTGTGCTCGTGTAACTTCCGGCGGAAATGGAAAGCCAGAACAACGCCGGAGCAGTGCTCCTCATACTCTCCGGCGCCTGATCGTAGAAAAACTCGAGATGCCCAATCGACATAAAAGCCTCCGCCACTCCATGCAGACAGTACTGTGGGGCCAGCCAGAAAACCGAGATAGGAATAGTCTCGTGGGGCCGGTCGAGTAACCCGTGGGCCCCGGCAGAGCTCTTCCGCCGGAGCTCAATGAAACCTGCCGCCAGGGTGGCGAGGAGAGAGATTACAAATCCGATCCCGATTCTAGTGAGGAAGGATATGCCGCGGTCGAGGCCAGTGAATTTACGTGCGATCGGGACGAAGATGCGGTCGTAGAGGAGTATGGTGGAGAGCATTGATGTTTGGGTGAAGACGGACATCGATGCCGGTGGGATTTGGAAGTTTCCGGTGAGGTGGCGGTTCATGGACTTGGCTTGCTGGAGGGAGAAGGTGTTCTGCTGGGCGGCAGCGGTGATGAGGAGGATTCCGGCGGCCCAGATGGGGCCCATTCGGATAAGGGTTTTCAGTTCTTCGACACGGTGGACTGTGCTCAACTGCCATGGGTTGGGGGATTTGGGGTTGTCCTTGTCTGTTACTATGGCGGCCTTGTCCAAGAACCTGTGCAGTTTTCAAATATTTCTTTCAAATTAATTAATTAAATTTATAAGATAATGGTAATCTACAATTTTTTGTTGTTGCATAAGTGAAGATAGGCTTGTGTGCAAAATGGAACAGAGATTATTGGCATTATCTGATAATGTAATGTAATGCAATGAACCAAATCATATAGGGTGGGCGCCTGATATAGCAAACATGACTCGTGAATAACTAACTTGTTGGCCACTTCCATGTGTTTTGCATAAGGTTTTGGAATTTTTTTTCTTTTTTCTTTTTCATAATGTATATTTTTAGAATTTGTAACTTTAATATGTGATATTTTTAAATTTACAAATTCTAAAAGTATGCATTATGAAAAAAGAGAAAAAAAAATATATTTTCCAAAATGAATTTGTAAATTGTTTTTATATACATGTAGAGTACATCAAATATTAAATCATTGGAACAACTAAAGTTTATTAATACTGCTAGAGCCTAGACGAGTTAGATGTTACATCTAGTTATTTATACTGGGTGGATTTCAGTTGTAGATCTGATTAAGATGGTGTTTGGCTAAGTTTATTTTAAACAGCTGATAAGCTCTTACTTCTGATAAGATGTTTTAAGAGCTGATAAGCTGTTACATCTTATTTTTAGGATTAATTTTTAGAGTGTTTGGATAATAAGCTTATTTTCTATTTTTACTCATTATAAGATCTTAAATAAAAAGGTGGGGTAGAGGTACTTATTTAAAAAGATTTTATTTGCTCTCCAACAGCTTATTTTTTAAAAAATTAAGATCTTTTTAAAAAAAAATACCAAACACTTTGGAAGAGCTTATAAGCTCATTTTAATATCTTATAAGCTTAGCCAAACACCCTCTAAGATGTGTATGTGTGCTTAATTGGTATTTATTTAATCAAATCTACGGTTCAAATACACCCGATATAAATAACAAAGTGTAGCATTCCTTGCATCCTCAAAAGTGTCAACGGAATTATATATATGTAGATGTACGATTGGAATCCATCCAATATAAATAACCCGATGTAGCATCTAATTACCCGTATCGCTATTTCACATAATATAACTAAAAAAAACCCAAAGATAGAACTAAGTAGGGGCCTTCCTCAATCCTTGGGACTAGGGGTGAAAGTCGGATGGATCGGATCGGAATTAGCCTTTTCGGAAAATTTCCAAAAAAATTCGGAAGTACAAAATCAGTTCCAATTCCAATTCCAAAATTTTCGGAATCTAAAAATTCATTCCAATTCCAAAAGGCCCGGAAATTTCGGAATTTCGGAAATTTTTCGGAAATCACATAAGTTTTAAAATTTCAAAACTTAGTGGAAATTTTCTGAAAAATTCATAATTTTCCAAAAATAAGAACATTTACGTCGATAGATGTAAAACTAATAACTACTAAATTTCAGTGCAAAAAATAAATAAAAATAAACCACATTATAATATCCAAAATAAAAAAATTCTAGCAACAATTCAATATGTCAAAATTCTAAAACAAAACTTAAACCTGATGTAAAAGAAACTAGGGTTTAACGTAAAAGAATCTAAGATTTTTTTAGGTGACATTTAGCATAAAAAGTCTTTGACATGCCCATAAAACATAAATACAATTAAATCCTTAGTTTATTTTGAATTATGTAAAATAAGTATTATATATACATATATATATATATATATAAATATAGATTATTGATAGGGATTTTTTCGGAAAAAAATCGGAATTTTTCGGAATTACTTTCGGAAATTAATCGGATCGGAAATCGGAAATTCCAATTCTTTTTTATATTATTCCAATTCCAATCCAAAAAAATCGGAAAAATTCGGAAACCGGAATTTCGGAAATCGGAATGAAAAAAGTTGTTCCAAATTCGGAGCTTTTCGGATCGGAACCGGCGGAAATTGGAATTTCCGTTCCAACTTGCACCCCTACTTGGGACTTATAAAAAAAAAACCTCTTAATACTCTCTAAAACAATCATAACACACAATTAACTTAAAAGAAGTAAACACAGTTAAAATAAAAATAAATAAAAAATGAACTCACTTCATACTATCCGTGTGGACAAGTTTCCCACCGACAGAGATGGGCGCGTCAATACTCTCATTCTCGTACAACAACGCGCCGCCACCATCACAACCCGCCACCTTCCTCTTCCTCCACGCCGCCGCAGCCACCTGGACCAGCCTCGTGAACGGGCTGCCGGCGGGGTCCACCACCCTGTACAGAGGGTAGCCGAAGACGAACGCCACCACCGACAAAGCCATGGCAATCGCCGGAATCCCGAGCCCCCAACCCCACCCAACGTTGTCCTGCACGTACACAATCACCGTGTTCGCCACCAGAATCGACGCCCCCATGCAGAAGTAGTACCAGTTGAAGAACTTCCACGTGGCGGTCTTCTGCTCGGGGTCATTTTCGTCAAATTGGTCCGCCCCGAACGACACCACGCACGGCCGGATCCCGCCGGAGCCCAACGCCGTCAGCAAAAGAGAAACGTACAGCACAGCAAGCTGCCCGGAGTCGGCTTCCTCGCACGTGCGGGTTTTCCCGTCGCACGTGGGTGGCCGTAGCTTTGGCACGACAGCAGATATCGTTAAACTTATCATTCCCTGTTCCATAAAATTAATATAGTTATTATATATGTAAAGTTTTGACAAATTAAATAAACACGATTTTAGTAATATTATAATATTGTGAGGAAATTAAAAATTACAATTTGGTATATAATTGAAGCGGCGGTGATGGTCCAAAACCTGCCGGCGAAGGCGTCGGCGATGAAAGCGCCGAGCAACGGTGTCATGGCGGCGGTGCCGCCGAAGTTGGTTAGGGTATTGGCCGCCTTAGTGAGTGGGAGGTGGAGCTGAGTTGTTAAGTAGCTTATCATGTTCGTACTGAAACCAACCACTGCTAATTTCTCACATATTTCATTTGCTGCACACAGAATATAAATAAATTAATATCTATATTATACCTAATTAATTAGACTCTTATAATAAAAAAATATATATAGGATAATTTTGTTATGCAATATAGAACATTTAGTGTTATGAGTTTGATGAAGAAATAAAAGCTTACCAAAGATGAAGGGCATAGTGACAATGCCACCCTTTTTCTTTTGGACATTTTTGCCCTTCTGATTCATGCTTTCCATTTCCTTTGTTAGATTGTTTTGCAGATTTTTGGAAATAAATGGACTCCAATGTATGATAATTTATAGGCAGGATTTAGTAGAATTACTTTTTTTACATGACGTATGTAACAGTACAATTTGAAGTGTAACTTTTGTCACTTTTAACCATGGTACTACATTTTGTAGGAATACAATGATTTAGTCTTGAATAATAGAATCGTAATACTCGCGGAAGGGTATTATGATTAATTTAGTATTTCAGGTTAGTAATTCGATCGAATTATTTGTTTGTATAATTGAGGGAATTGGAGGTTCAATAATCACATAGGGGAAGATAAAATCCTAGGCTAATTTACTTTGATAATCTTCGTCTTTATTTATTTTCTTGCTATTTAATTTGGGTTTAATAATCTAGTTTAATTTAGTTAATCATCTTTAATTAGACTGCGTAGGGTGGGTTTGAACATAGTTGTGAGAATCTAGCGCTTAGGATTAGACAGTTGAATATTTCTCGTGACATCGATATCCGAACTTAATTGTTCACTATATTACTTGTATGATACGTGCACTTGCGTGTAGGTATTCCAACCAACAGGTGTTCACTCAGCCGGTAAATCGATCGAACTAAAAATTCGGTACATGCCAGATACCGAACCGAAAGTTAGGTTCGGTGAAGGATTTTTGAAATTCCGGTATTCGATACGGTATTCCTGTCCGAATATACTACTGAATGCCGAATTAAATATCAATAATTTCTTTTATTTTAAATTCTTTAAGATTATAACAAAATATAAAATACTTTTAGATTCATATTTTTTATCCATTATTTGGAAATTAGCCTCTACTGATAGAG